GCCGTGCTATGGTTTGCGGTATTCTTGAAAAATAAAAAAGAATTCTCGGAAAAAATGAACCATCCCCTCGGAATAGACAGGGTCGAGAAAAATCGTAATAAATATATTGGGAACATGGAGATATCTATCGAAACATTTGTCATTGTTCTCAGAATTGATACCCCATTTAACTACAACCAGCTCCAAGGGGTTTTGATCTCGTCTGACCATAACTCGATCCCGGACTTGAGACTTTTCAGTGGAAAAAGCCAGAGTAGTGCGAGTCGTGGCATCGACTTTACCCTCAAGCGTTCCCATTCCACTGGAGAAGACTTGAGAGCCCCGAGGATTGTTCGCAGTGCTAGAGTGAACCAGTCGAAAAGAGGAGAAAAGAAAAATAAGAAGGGAGTACTACAAGTAAGAGATAAAAAGACACAAGAAACCCCAAGAAATAGAAATCAGGGGGAGTAAGAGCGAGTGGAGTAAAGAAGTTTGTAGAGCAACGTCGAGTGGAAGGAAGAAATAAAATGAGAGGAGAAGTAACTCACATACGCTTGATTAGAGGGGACTACATACTCGGCAAGTTAATTTATTTTTTTTTATGAAAAAACGACACACCCAATCGGATTGAGTCACACCTAATATTACTCTTCAACAATTTTTATAATTACCTAAGAAATAAAGATTAAATTAAAAAAAAATATTTCACTCACCCAGAATAATAATAGTAATAGTTATAATTATTAAACAATAAACTAATCATCAAATAATAGATAATAATAAAATATAGACAATTATTTGGCTTGAAATGATTTATTTGGGGAAATGATTTTTTGGGTGAAATCGATTGTTCCCGGATTTATCCCACGGATGAGACAATAAGATGCGGGCGGTAAATTTTTTTCTCCCTCCGAGAGTCGCAATCGTCCTAACCATATACAAATGGCAATTGAACGATTGCAATTGTCGGCGGAAGAGGCTCGTTATCCCCATAAAGTGGAGTGTCAGCCAATGGTTTGCTGCTTGCTCCACGATCATTGTCGTTGAACGCGTTCACGATCATGTGGATTAACACAATGAACCACGCAATACCCAGTATCATTTCTCCGTAATCCATCCTCACCACCAAACTCGCACCAAAAGGACCGATACCGAAATTCGCATTTAATTATTCTCTGTTAATCGAAGCCAATTCTCCACTGGAATTCCCTCGAGAGAAATTAATAATCGATACTGCGCCGAATGTGCAGTGTGTACCCAAACCCATCCCTAGGATCGGTATCCCATTCTCTTTCTTGCCTCGGTTTTTTTTCATTGATTGAAAAATTTGTTGACTCCGTAAAACAATAAAAGTTAGAAGATAAAAATGTAGAGATATATGAATTGCGTTCATAAAATAATCCAACCAATACGACCCACCGTGTGACCCCCTAATGGAGCGTAAACGTTCAATCGTTTCTCGTCAATTATTTCCCATCGATTCCATCAATCACCAAAAACTTTCCACCCAATCGCAGCACGAACTAACGTACAACCCTTTATCTTCCCATTGTTCCCGAAAAATCGATAACTCATGAAGCATAAATCAGAAACTTACACTAACTCCCATTTTATTATTTTCAGAGGTGAAAAAAAAAAATCGAGCTATCCCATTCATCCTGGAATTTTCAAATGGTCGTTATTCGATAGCTGAGAATTTCATCTCCAGATTCTCTTTTTCACATTCATAATATCAAACGCCATGTGCTCCTGGCAATAAGTAATGATTCCCTTATCCTAGATCAAACTCCAGAGTCTTCGAGTTTCAAGTGAAAATGGTAAAGGCGTAAACTGCAGTGCAACGGAAATTCCGAGGTATGTCAATAAAATTCGACTCATCAGAGTGAAGTATGCTATTAAAATTTCTCGTCATCGTTGTCCTTGGCGAGGTTTAAAGTATTTTAAGGATTATATTTTCCATAGAGTCTGTATGAACTGACCCTGGAATACCAGATCATCGTAGCTACTTCTGGAATGGCATCAATTCAACATCCAAATGGTATTCAAATTCACGGGTAGATAATTCCATTGAAACTTCATGCCAGTGAAATGCAGAGGTATCATTCCATAATGCACATCGTTACCATTTCATTTTTTTCTTCCATCCCTGCTGTCTCCCTTTTTTAATTGTTTCGCAAACTCCTTTTGTCTCTAGCCTCTGCACTCTGCACAGTAGTTCCATGTAATTGTCACGGTAATAGCATGGTAATTGTACCAAGCGTTTGTACTTACCTCAGCTTTATGCACTGCCTTGATTCTCATTTTGTTATACTGTACACCTTTGCCTTGTACATCGTCTCTCGTCGCCTGGCCAACGCCCCCTCCTCCGGCTAAAAATTTATGCCCGGAAATTCTGTGTACCTCAATATAGAACACGTGTAAATACAACCAACTGCGCAACAATCGCCGGCTTTTCAATTCATTAAAAATTCAAGAGTATTCCCTGTTCCTGTTAAAATGAAAGATAAACAGAAAATTTTCGGTTTGTAACAGCGGAATCTCCCGCGTCAGGAAAATTCCGCGATTTCATAGGGAAAATGGAAATAATCATGACAATTTTTAATGCGACATAAATGAAAATGTTTTCAGTCAGGCGATTCGCGGGAGTAGTCCAAGGGCTCTTTAAAAATCTGGGATTTTTAAAGCCAGAAATTTTCGGTAAAAAATTGTACGGGGGTTCATCTGACCGGAAAATGAAGGGGCGTGTTTAGGCGCGCGTTGAGTTTTAAGCTTTCAAGAAAACCACACATCGGGCTTTCACACCGCGTTAACCCTCTGACCTCGGTAATTGCAAATGGGGCTGCACTGGAAATAACCCAGGTCAGCCTACAGGTCATTATTTACGTCATGGAGTCGCGACGGTTTAATCGTGAGATTTCCGTTATCTCAATCAAAAAATTTGACAATGAACCTCATTGGGATTAGCTCGAGAGGTGACATGTGGAGCGGATCGATTAGAGTTGTGGTAGTGTGTCAGTTGCTAAGCTGGGATTTGTGAAGATATCAATCGAAATGCCTTGTACCTGGTATTTCCATTGGCAGCTGGGGATTCCTGCTGGTCACTCTGATGTATCACATGCCGGGGCCATTGGATTTCTGTTTTTATGTGGCTCGGGTCCAGCAGAGGAAAACATCACGCGTCTCGGCAATTGTGTTGGAAGTCGGGATTGTCTGGTTGTCCTCTGTCCAGTACAATCTTTTCTCGGGATTTCCAGTGAATGAGATTACGATCTTCTTGTTCTCCTCGGGTGGAAAAAAAATACACGGTTGAGTTTATTCAATTACCAATAATTGATTGGAAAGTTGGAGTGATTGAGGGGCTGAACGAAAGGAATGAAGTGATACATCAGATAGGTGATAATAGAAGTTGTCACTCCTTCGGCCACTGAACCCGCCATATTCAAAAAGTTTTATGAGCCGAAATGGGGAATTTCTCATTTCGCTGCAGGAGTAGAGAGTCGGTATTTCCCCTGGTATTGGGTGGGTTCTCGATCCTCTACCTCGAGGCAGAAGTTATGATCGAGCTGTCGACGTCGGGACTCATTGAAATGACTAACGACAATGGACCCCAGCTGAAACTTGTCCTGGAGTGAAACCAGCACTGGGTGTGGAGTTTCGTGCAGTGACTTCACGTTGTTTGGTCTCCAGAGAGAGACAACACTGGGGGAATAATTAGTCATTTCCCTCGGAGAAATAGAGATATTTTTTAAATTGCTAATTGTCCTGTCATACGCATGACTTCATCGTCCTTCCGCAGACCTCCAGCATCTATCATTGCCTCAGAATTTATCTCAAGTTGAAAAACGAAAATGAAAAACGAAAACGAGGGAAAAGAGACAGCATCTGATATTCCCATCACGTAATTCCCGTTCCACGTCGTTAATAACATCACGCCCGCCCATGGGCACCCACCTGAGTCTTTTGCATACCCACTGGACGGCTACCTTACCCATCGCAATATCACCCCGAGCAATTCTGCGGGCCATTATTGCACTCGAAACCGAATTCCACAGTGATAACGCTCAGAGGAAATCGATGTAGCCTAGCTCTGACGAAAAAATAAAATAAAATAAAATAACGCTCGAACAGTTGGAATAAAAGACTGTTGAGTCCTGACCTCGACGTGATATCCCATTTCCGTAATTCGAGAGCGTTTCCCATAAAATCTACTCTATCAAGTTGCTTCCTAAAAAAATCATTCAAAAGAGCTAAATCATCCTTGAAATCTAGTTTCCCACCGTAAAAACTGATACCTCAAAATTTATGACGCATAAAAAATTTGATAATAAAAATAATCCGATTGGCATGCGGATAAAATATGGCAATAAGCAAAAACAAACTGTTGAATCTTAACCGTTGAATGCAGGTAGTGATCATGTTAAATTTAATTGTTTTTATGTTTTTTATTTATTTATGCATTAATTCTATTGGTAGCAGACTTCTAAACGGATCCACAGCAATTTTCCTCTTCAATTTTGAATTATTCTCGTACATCACATTATACTATCTCAATTTTTCCGCAAGTTATTGCGCGAATAAGGAAATTAATGAGGAAATATTTCCATGCAAAAATAAGTGATAGAGTGATGATACGTCATGTGGAATGTCAGGAGCAGTCAGGTGAATTGCATTTATCGTGTTTTTTTTTTAAATGGTTATTTAATGACTATTTTATGTATTTATGAGCTTCATCGCTATCTGGGACTTATCATTGACAAACAGCGCGCATGTAAATTTTCACATTGAATGCTGATGTTTGGAGCAGAGAGTTTGAATTTCAGATGGGAAAATGAGAAATTTTAGATTGGAGAGAAACGATGGGAAAGGAAACGCGTGGTTATACTCCTTGGTGGAATCAACGGTGGTCGTTGATGGAGTGCGTTGCCGTTGGCGCGTCGCAAGGTTCCATCCAAAGAGACGTGCGCCGACGCTTTCCCTACCACCAACCGACACCAACTGCCACCAACACACAAACACTGGAGTATCCACCTCCACCTCCTCCTTCGCATTACAGTCGACCCCGTGCATCGCGGTATGCCGGCCGCAACGAGCCTCATCGTCGCGCCTCCGCGAGACTCTGTCAATTGGCCATCAGGATCTGTCAATCACTGAGACAAATCGCTCCTTATAAATTAGCCCGATATCACCCAAAAACATCCCAGTGATCGCCCAATAATCAATCAGGATAACAACGAGAATTGGCCAATTAATCTTCGATCTAAAGGTGCAATGACCGAGTGCAGTGAATGTGCAATGCATAGAGTGTGTTTCCACTTGATTAAGCCCCAGTGAGTCAGTAAATAATCGACTAAATCTAAATAATCGATAAACAAATTTGCCCTCCCCCATTTCCAGCGCGTTCTACTGCGTGTTTGAGTTAACTTGTTGAGTGGTACGACGTTGGAGAGTTGCCTATCACAATGCGTTCAAACCCCGGTGTGATTATCACACTGATAATCCTAACTATTGGTAGAGTGGAGATGCGGGACATGAGGGAAGTGCGGAATGACCCGTTGATCGTTGAAACAACTACTGGCCTTGTGCGTGGATTATCGCGATCAGTGCTGGATCACGAGGTTCACGTGTACCTAGGAATACCCTTTGCTAAGCCACCAATTGGTCCACTGAGATTTCGTAAACCATTGCCCGTTGAACCCTGGCATGGTGTTCTCAATGCAACCAGTCAGCCGAACAGTTGCTTTCAGGAGCGTTACGAGTACTTTCCGGGCTTTAAGGGTGAGGAAATGTGGAATCCCAATACCAATGTTTCGGAGGACTGTCTTTACCTGAATATATGGGTGCCCCAGAAGTTCAGGCTCAGGCACAAAGAAGCACCAGGTGGAGCTGGAGTGGAGAAAAAAGGAATGCCGTTGCTTGTTTGGATATACGGTGGTGGGTACATGAGTGGTACAGCAACACTTGACGTTTATGATGCTAATTTTATGGCAGCGAGCAGCAATGTTATCATAGCCTCTATGCAGTACAGAGTTGGAGCATTTGGATTTCTTTATTTGAATCAGCATTTTGGAAAGAGTGAGGAGGCGCCTGGAAATATGGGACTGTGGGATCAGGCTCTGGCTTTGAAATGGCTCAAGGACAATGCCAAGGCGTTTGGTGGTGATCCCGATGCTATCACAATTTTTGGTGAATCCGCTGGTGGTGGATCTGTATCATTGCACTTGCTGTCACCCGTTACTCGGGGTTTGGTGAGACGGGGAATTCTTCAGAGTGGAACTCTCAATGCCCCTTGGAGTTTCATGACTGCGGAGAAGGCTAATGAGGTGGCACGGGTGCTCGTTGATGATTGTGGATGTAATTCTACAATGCTTGGGGAAAATCCCGCCAGGGTCATGGCCTGCCTGAGGTCGGTTGATGCTAAGAGCATATCGGTGCAGCAGTGGAACAGCTACTGGGGTATTCTCGGTTTTCCATCAGCTCCTACCATTGATGGGGTCTTCCTGCCCAAGCATCCCATTGACCTGTTGAAAGAGGCCGACTTCGAGGATACGGAAATACTTATTGGGAATAATCAGAATGAGGGTAAGTGCCTGTTTAGAATTATCTTAAGAAATTTTTGGGAGATGAGGTGGATCCGTTGGCTTGATCCAACTTGATGGAGCCATTGAATAATTGGAAAAAAAAAACAGAATTAAACGGCTGCCTGGTTAAGCAGGTTATACCGCTTCGTTGTTGATGCAGCAGCCGTGCTATTAGCTTGATGACAGGCTCCATTAAAATTACCTATCCCAGGGAATTAATTCATGCGTGGTTATAGACTGAGGGTACGTGCAAACACAAGTTGGATGCACACACCAGGGGTCATAGTTTACGTAGCTTGGTAGAGATAGGATTAATCCGGCTTGAGCGTGGACCCAATAACTGAGGGAAGGCCCACGGTATCCAATCTCCTTTGTCCTCTGAAAATTCCATGAGCCGCGGCCTTGGCTACTACTTCTGGTTACCAGATATCCGATCAAGCCAGTCAAGACTCCTCCGCCACTTGTTTTCATTGGAGTATTAAAGTATCGGGGGATGAGCCGTTGGTTAAACGCAGAGTGAAATTCGATCGGTGTGGCGAGATAACCCCGATCACCCTGGAGATCATCATAAGAATGTTGGAGGGGATTTTGATGTCGATATACCCTATGTATATCTATTCCGGGATATTATAACACCCTCTACAACGTCCTCAGCCGCTCCAACAACTTGTTCTCATCGTTTTTACCCTCTCAACGCCTCCAGCATTATCATCCAGTATTACCCGGGATTTTCAATTTGAGATGATACGGGTCACGATCAATAGAGGAAATCGGAGAGCAATGGAATTTATTCCATTATTCACATCATTATCTAAAATGAAGAGATTAATCATCCGCAAATGATTCCACGATGCTGAATTGATAATTAGAAATTGGAGTTCACGGTTGAATTTGATGGGGAGACTTCTGTACGTTCTGATAAATTCAGAGGGGTATTAAGCAATAACCATTAATCGAATTCCTCGGTTAATTGAATGCATGTATAATCTGGTATTTCCGGCGTGAGTCAAAGATATTCTCGGACGAAAAGAGAAGCGAGATAAAATGTATAATAAAAATTCACAAAGTATCGGAGATCAGCAGTGACCCGGGGTAGTGGCACGAGATATTCGGTTGAATGAGCAAGAGTGGGATAAGAGATACGGCTTTGGGTTGAGAAAAATGTGCCGGATGGCCTTTGATGGTATCTTTCCTCACCGGTGCTTCCTGCTTCCCAGCTACAACATTTCTACTTCAATGCATTACACCCACATGTACACTTTATGCTCTTCTGTGACATTTCCAGCTGATTTGGAAGAGAATTCAATTTCCTCAGCTAGAAGCAATTAGCCGAGTTTTTCCACTGTCATTCGGTCTTTATCAATCGTTTCTATGATTTTTAACTTCTTCCTGTTTTTTAGTTTCACGCTACCATTCATTTTATTGGATTTGTATTGAGAATCTGGAGCATATTTTTTTTTGGATTGTCGTATTGAAGTTTTTAAAAATGATGGGATAGAGGGGAAAGAGAATTTCGTGATAAAGTCGCAGATGAATCAAATCCCCAACTTTTACTGGAATTGGCGGAAATTTCTGGAAAAATCCAAGAAATCTCAACTTTATTTTATAATTTGTGGGAAAGAGGGAAAACCTATTGGGGAAATCGTGACGGTAATTTAAATGCAAGTGCTAATTAGACGTTGCGTCGCGCGGCAGGAGAATGATCTATTTGCAATCAATGAAACGAGATTACTATTATTAAAGAGAACAATAAAGTGGGACTTTAATGTTTGTTACTAATTCATTAATGACCCAGTTTAGAGATAAATATAAGGTCACATGGAATGGATATAATTCTTTAATTAGTCTGGAGCCCTGTGGTTTTTCACATGAAATATTGAGCCCAAAGCCACCATTTAGCGTCGTAAATTCTGAAATAATTCTCCGGCATAGCTATTAAATTTTTCGTCATGTGAAACATGTGAAACTCATGCAGGAAAATTTTTTCACCCAAAACCCAGATCAACCCATCAACCAACCAAAGTTTTTTTTTGAAAATTGGAAATTTTCAATATTTCTCCAACCCAGATGTCATTCCATAGATCAATTATATCAGATAAATCAATATTGATGTTACAAAATTTCAAGAAAGTTAACGCAGAGTGGACTCAATTCTCCGGCAGAAATTTATTCAATTTAAATAAAAAAAATTATTTTTATTTTTTTATTCTTTCAGCGCTTGTGAAATTTGATGCACCACTGTATATGATATTGTTACTCATCGCTTGCGCGTTAAAGTCTCTCGTACATTATATAACATCTGGGAATCCTCAAGAGATTCAAACTCAGCAGAGGTTCTTTGGTGGATCCATGAGCTATTCCACTCGTAGCACGCGAAAAGCCCTCCCTCCACGTAGACAACCAACCTCATCCCCTCAATTTGCATACAAGCGTTCGTGTGGAATTTTAAATAGCTGAAGAAGTTCTTTCACTGTTCGTGCAGCAAGATGTGGTTTTCGAGGTACCTTATCACCGGGTTTTGGCCAGTTCCTTAAAATCGATCAACTCGTAAATGAGGAACCGATTTATCAAGCATCATCGATGCCTCTCCTCATTTTCAGGTAATTTTCCGGTAAATGGGCAGTATATAATATGTGTAATATAATCAGAGAAGACGGGAAATTTATATAGTCTTCCACATCATGTGAGGATTTGGGATTCGGTGTTTTACCTAGGAAAAAAGGATGATTCTCGATATAATTTTACAAAAATAAATTACAGAAAAAAGTGATAGTTCAGATCAGGATTTGAACCCACCCTACATCTTCCAATTATGCATCGGGATAACATCGTTTGACGGAATTCAAAGAATATTTTCACTAGGCACCACATAATCTCCTATCTTCTGTTCTCGTATTATAAAAAGGACACACATCGATACTATCGATATCTCGAGAGTCCGTCACACTTATTCCTCACTGGTTCATTCGAGACAGCTGATTCGAATTCAAAACTCTTTTAATTTCGGAATTTGCAATCATGATTTTTATCATCACAGCGCTCTGTAGCACGCGTTCGGTCTCGTAACGTAATTAAGTGGGATCAAGAAGAAAATTGTTCCGGTCCCAGCTAGGCGAAGGTGCAGACTACATACATGATACATGATTATGATCATGATCTCTTTGGGGTTCATATCAGCTGCATCTCCATCGCGAATCCTCGGTAACGCCAAAAGCTGGTATAATTTCGATTTAAATCATATCCATGAATTTTGCATTCTTGAATTTATTAGAAATAACTTTGATTTATCAATTTTTATAAAATTTAGTTCTCTAGACGGGAGCAAGAGAGGAATAGTCTCCTACACCTATACAAACACCCATTATAAAAGATGAGGTATCTCGAAGTATATAAATTATAAAGGTGAAACTTAGGTCGCCCATAGTACATCAGGAAAATTTAGTAAAGGGTGGTATATTGGCCATTTACCAATTTTTTTTCTTTGGATCCCTTCCTCACTGCCTGATCCCCGGGTATCGCCCAGGCGAAGACGAATGTGTCTGGCCCCTCCCTCTTTTCCATTTTAATTCAACGGCTTCTGATTTACGATGCAATATCCTTCATTGCACTGAGAGAATGGTTTAATTATGCCACTCAAATTTAATAGGAGGAAATATTCAAAGTGACTGTCACCCGTAAAAATTCTCTTTCTGTTGGTTCGTATCGGGGAATTTCAATGAGCTTTGAAGTGAATTTGAAAGAAAATGGCTGGCATTCGAGGCTTTGAAGGAAGTGTCAAGCTCGTAGGGGTGTTATGGGCTTTAGTGAGTTATACATATTAGAATCGCCAATTGTTCACATCTGTTGAATCTGGACGCTCGCCAACTACTAAGGGCCAATATCAGGTCATGCTAACAGGTACCGAGGGGTAAATCAGGGAGAACACAGCCGAATTGTCAGTATTGTTGAGAATTTGTGAATTGGGAGATTTCCGCGAAGAGTGTTTGATTAGGAAAAAAATTGCAGCAACAGGTTGTTGAGTGCATTAACGGAAGCGCCATTATTTGACCGAAAAAGACTGGATTCCATCCTCTTAACAGGAGAATAACTTAATTAAACGGATTTTTATGCACAAGTTTAACACACTGAAAAATTAATTAAAATGGAGTAAACCTATTTGTTGAATGAGATTTAAATTGAGTAGATATTTGATTAATTCAATCTTTTGATAGATTTGCCCCAATTAACAATTCATTAACAAATTTGGAGTAGAAGCAAATAATTATATGAGATTAAAGCAGAAAAATGGATCATTCGATTGTATTATTATTATATTAATTTTTTGTGGCTATTGAGAAGCTGAAAAATATTTTTTAAATCATAATATACAAAAAAAATAAGTAGTTGAGGTTACCCGGATATATTTCTATATTGAACGAATTCTCAAGGATATTTCAACGAATACCAATTTAAAATTTGACATTCTTGCGAACGAGTCGAGTGACAATTGAACTGAAAAATTTCAATTATCTGTTTAAAACGGCTTTATTCAATTCTATAATTTAATCTGTTACTTTCAAAATAATCTACTAAATAATACTATCAGCGCATTTACTCAACTCCAATAATTTATTATTAATAATGGTTAAAAATATTGAGAAAGGAAATGAAGAGTCAAAAAATGACTTGGAATTGAAGAAAAACATGGGGGCAATTATCTCTGGCAAACAATCCGTGGAACGCGAGTGAAATGGAGAAAGACAAGTCACGACATTTAACCTTTTGCCGTTGAATAGTAAAAAATTGCGGAAGAAGTGGAGTGACTTCCGGTATGTACAGACCTCATGCCAAGTCCGAGGATGAGCAAGGTAGTCGACATTATGTACAACTGTGGAATTACCTACACACGAGTTGACCGGCCTAGTTGAATAGTTGTGGATGACATAAGTCGTACACGAAGCACGTGTACCCCAGTCGTTGGAATGCAATGCCCCCGTGACCTTTAATATAAATCATTTAATT